GGTGCTCGAGGTGAGTTTCTGCTGCCCTTGGGGGCCGGGAAGAGTCCCTCTGAGAGTGGCCGGCCAGATCGGCCGAGACCCTTTTGTGGCAGCCTCCCGGAGGGGGTGCAGAACAGTGCAGCCTCGGATCCGCCTCGAGCCCTCGGCGTCGGCACGAGGGCATCCACCGAGCAAGAAGAACGTCGTGGGTGCCGTCCCCGAGCCGACCTCGATCTCACGCCTCGGTCCGACGGCAGGCAGGCTGCGAGGCGCCCGCACCTGAAGCGTAAGTGCAGTGAGCGGCGAACGCGGCGGCCGACGAGCAAGGGCAGCATCGAGGCAGGCGCCAAGCCAGCGCGAGGACAGAAGAAGGAGAAAGGCGCTTCCAGCCTGCAGTCGGGCCTGTCCCCCTACAGGCGCACTACTCTTCAACTATTTCTGGGATACTCCTCCTGTAGAGGGACAGGCCCGACTTGATCCCAGCCTGCTGTCGTCCTTCAGCACAACTCCCAAACAGCCCTCCCCGCAAGATCGGCGGCGGGCCCGGGGGGGATCTAGCGAGAGAAGGGGCGGGCCGTCGCAGGAGGCTCGGGTTGCCCTCCGGCCCTCCGAGGAGCTGTGCGCGCCTTCCCCGAGGGCACGCGGCACTCCTCGGAGGGTGCGAGGGCTTCTGAGAAGTCCCGCCGCCTCACGAGAAGGCCTTGTCCTTCTCGCTGACCCCCCCGTCGCTCGCCGCCGACGGAAACCCGTCGGGAACGAAGCAAGGGCTCCTGAGTTCGCGCTTCGCGCTGCGCGAAGCGCGAGAGCGCGAATAGCTTCGCTCTCGCGCCCCAGGGGAGAAGAGTGGGAGAAGAGTGGGGGGAGGAAGAGGAGGAGGAGGAGGAGGAGGAGGAGGAGGAGGAAGTAGTGCGGTAGAGGTAGGGGGAGAGGAGAGGAGGAAGAGGAGGAGGAGGAGGAGGAGGAGGAATCGGTGCCGAACCGCGAAGCACGAGAGCACGAGTAACATCGCGCCCTCGAGGGCGCACTTGCCGAAACGACGACAGGGGCCAGATCATCGCGAGACGTGTGCGGCGGCAGGGGGTGGCGAAAGTCAGGTCGGGCATGTCCTCCTTCGGGCGGGCTTTTTTCGGAAGCAAGAGACAGAACGGTCAAGACATGGTCCAGGGAGCACGGAGACTTGTCAGCAGACTACATGCTCTACGAGTCTTGGCTCTCCCCCTCCTGTAGAGTCGGCGGTGGACAAACCTCCCTTTAGTAAACCTCCCTTTAGTGAAAACGGCCTGGGGCCGAACCCGACGGACCTGGACCCGCAGAAATGACGGCCGCGACGCCCTCCCGCGAACCGAAAACGGCCGATTCACGAATCGACGTGTCAGGGTAGGAGGTCTGTCCACCCCCGATAGAGGGGCGTGCCCGACGGAGCGCGAGGGCGACGGCGCGGCGGCGTCCGCCCGCGGTGCTCGGCCGTCCTCGTCCTCCTCCTCCTCCTTGCGGGAGGGCGCGGACTCCTCGGGAGGGAGCGGCGCGCTCCGGCGCGGGGGGGGGGGGACCTCCCGAGGAGGCACGGGGAGGGGACGGCACGGGAGAGAAGAATTCGGTCGGGCCTGTCCCCCCTACAGAGGGGATCTTGCTGGAAAAGTCAGGAATACACCCTCAAAGCTCCAAACACGACTGAACAATAACAATGTTCTGACCATTTTTGGAGATTCCTCCTGTAGAGGGACAGGCCCAACTTACGAGAAAAAGTGGGTACTCTGGGTTTCTTCATATGCGTGAGGGGGGGGGGGGGGCCCGACGGGGGTCCACCTCGCCTCGTCGTCGCGCCGCGACGGGGGGTCGGAGCGCCCTCGGCGCGCGGTGGCTGCCCGCGACGGGGATCGATGTGGGGCTGTCGGCGGGGGTGACGCCCCCCCCCCCCACGCGTGTTAAGAAACACGGAGTAGGCGAGTAGGGGACGAGGAGGCAATTGAGGAGGAGGAGGAGGACTAGGAAAAAAAAAAAACAAAAAAAAAAAAAAAAAAAAAAAAAAAAAAAAACAAAAAAAAAAAAAAAACAAAAAAAAAAAAAAAAAAAAAAAAAGAAAAAAAAAGAAACCAAAAAAAAAAAAAAAAAAAAAGCCCCAAAAAAAAAAAAAAAAAAAAAAAAAAAAAAAAAAAAACAAAAAAAAAGAAAAAGGGAATTGGAGGGAATTGGAGGGGAAAACGGAGGAGGGGATGGAGGAGGAGGAGAATGGAGGAGGGGAGGAAGGGGAGGCGTAGGAAGGAGAGGCGTAGGGAGGAGGAGGGAGGATGGAGGAGGAGATGAGGAGGAGGAGGAAGAGGAGGAGGAGGATAGAGGAGGAATTGGAGGGAATTGGAGGAGGAGGAGGAGGAAAAGAATCCGGGCGGGAACAGTGCTCCCCACTGCCGAGCGCCGTGCTGCACGGCGCTCGGAACTGTGATGTTTTTTGTCTTCCCCCCACTCCCTGGCACATCCCTCTGAACTGCTCCGTGTCGATGTGGATGCGCATGTGCCTATACATTTGCATACACAGAGCAGATGTCATCCACCTCGCCTTCTCTCTCTCACTCTATCTCCGTCTCTCTGTCTCTCTGTTTCTCTCTCTCTCTCTCTCTTTCTCCCTTCTCTCGCTCTCACTCTCACTCTCATTCTCACTCTGTCTCTCACTCTCTCTCTCTCTCTCTCTCGCTCTCGCGAACTGTATGCATATGTGTATATATATATATATGTGTGTGTGTATCGCGCTATCTCTCTCTCTCTCTGCCCCCGTTGACTGTTGCTGGGCCACCCTGGACTCTGCTAGCCTGCAAATCGGTCGGCGCGCTGTGCGATCAGCCGCCAGCGGGCCGCGCCCTCGCGGCGGGGTGCCGCGAGGACAGGGCGGCGGGTGCGGCGCGCCCGCGCCCGCACGCACGACGGCCAGGAGAGGGAGGAGCGTGGCACGGGACGCCGAAGGGCACACCAATACGCTGGAGGCGCCCGTCCGGACCGACACAATGGTACAAGCATCCTGCAGCGCATCGTTTCCCGAGCGGCATGGCCAGAGAGCGCCCGCCGCTGAGCATGTACTACAGTGGGAGCTCGACCACAAGGAGGGACTTCCCACGAGAAAACCGACCCTGAGACCCGAGGACGTCCATGGATTCTTGGTGTGGGAACGGCACGCTGTCCATAGCAAAACCAGCGAACCCCAAGAAATCCAGGGCACCCTGGAGGCAAGCAGGGTGTTTCTTGGCTTGGGTTTTCGCTATACGGCCAGAAAGCACCCGCCACTGAGCACATATACTGCAAGATTTCTCGGCGCGTAGTGTTAGTATGTGTGGGGTGACGCCGATGGCACTTGCATTGAACAGGCGTCGGAAAGAAATCCGCAACCGCGCTTGCAGCGGTCGGTGTGTCGGTGTGTGCGTGTGTGTATGTGTCAGGCCCTTTCCGCGTGTCGCGAGTCGATACATCGGATCCCCAACGCATCGAGCCCAAGAGGCGCTCACGTTTGTGACCAAGTCCCTGCTTGCTTGGCCTTCCAGGCAGAAACTGGTCCCACAGCTGGGGAAGGAGGGTCCATGGACCCGTCCCCCTCCCCCCTCCCCACAAGGCCCCCCCCCCCCCGCCCGCCCCAGCGCGGTGGCGGACTCGCGCGGCAGCGCAACTGGATATTCCCCCTCCCCAATGGTCGATGCCAGCGGGGGACCTGATCTGCACTTTGCCGCGGTCGTCCCCCAACGCGCCCGCTTGAACCTCGAGTGAGAGGGGGGGTCTGGAGTGCCTCCGCCTGCCGAAGCATGGCAGAGCGGGGCCGGAGTGCGGCAGGAGCCCACGCGACAACGCCCAGCGGGGGCGGCCGAAAGAGATCCGAGCGGAAAAAAGCGTGAGCTGCCAAGGCGCCGACAGCGCAAACCAAACACGAGATGCGGGCGCGCAGCGCGAGAAACTGAGGCTTAGGGCCCCGCAGGCTACGAGCGAGGGGCGACGACATAGGGGGTGGGACTTGCGCGTAGGGGGGGAGGAGGAGGAGGAGGAGGAGGAGGAGGAGGAGGAGGAGGAGGAGGAGGAGGAGGAGGAGGAGGGAGGCGGAGGAGGAGAAGGAGGAGGAGGAGGAGGAGGAGGAGGAGGAGGAGGAGGAGGAGAGGAGGAGGGGAGGAGGAAACTGCGAGGCGCAGCAGCGGCTGGACGTCCACGAGCGGGGGGGGGGGGGGCGCGGCGGGCGCTCCTGAGATCGACTCGCGGCGACGAGGGCCTACGGGGCGCTCGCGGTAGCCAGCGCAAGCCTTTCGAGGACCGATGGGATCGTGTGAGACAAGCTTTAGGGAGCACACAAAGGACGTACGCGCCCAGCTATGTACATGAACACGGCCCCTTGACCCGCGAGACCTACCGCGCGATACGAACATTCGCGCAATGCGAACTCTCGAAACCAGCGTGGATTCATGTACATGTACGTCCTTCTTTCGCTCCTGAGGCTTGGAGGTCGTGGGGGGATGCCAGGACAACTCACAGACAGAACCAAACAAATGGGGGGGAGCCTTGCTTGGCATGCGATTACCCAGCCGTGTTACGACCCCCCCGAGGTAAAGTCGTCGGCAAGGGGAAACCAATCCAGGCAGGCCAGTGGTATGAAGCATCTCAAACTCCTCGTCCCTGCTGCGCTGGCGACAGGGTTGGCCGCAGCTGGGCACTGAGCCCGAATGCAGTGATAGCCCGAAGGCCGACCCCCGTACTCTTCACAAGGCCGCATGGCGTGAAAGGCAACGCGCCGCACTGGGTTGCCGTACAGCGCCCGGTCCAACGAATCTGTCCCCACGAGCCCGCACGTGGTGCACGAGCGCGTCAACATGTGGTACGTTACAGTAGGGTGGTCGACGGGCAGAGACAGCAACGACTGTGCGATGTGTGACGGTTGAGCTCTTTCCGCACCCCTCCCCCCCGTGCAAGAAACAATTCCGTGTGAGCACGCGCCCTGGAAGGGGTCACCGCAGCCAGTGCGCGGGCGCGGCGCCCCTCTTCGGGCTCGGCGCCCCTGCTGCGCAGGGGGGCGGCCCGGGGCGCACGGACCGCCCGCCGAACACGGTCCTCGTCGCTGCTGTCCTTGGCAGGCTCGGAGCTCGAGTCCTTCTTCCGAGGCCTCGGCACAGCCCCGCCAGCTCCCCAGGCCAAAGGTGGGGGGGTGCTCCGCGCCGAGGAGTCAGCAATGATCAACGCCGCGGAATCGTCGCCGCCCCGAACCAGACATCAGGGACGCACCGATTCGAGTGCCGTGGCCCGGAAAGAGATGGGCCAGTGCTGTCCTCGGCAGGCTCGGAGCTCGAGTCCTTCTTCCGAGGCCTCGGAACTGAGTATTGTTCAACCGATCCCCAGCCCCAGCAGCGCGGGCTGGGTCCCACTGGCCGATGTCTCCCCCCAGGATAGGGGACATAGGGTGCTCTCTTCGGGTTTCGAGGGGTAGATCCTAAACTGGGGCAGTGGGATGGTGGGAATCGTGATGGGGACGGGGATGGGGGATGGGGACGGGGATCGGCGAAACGATACTGAGGAACAGCCCCGCCAGCTCCCGGGCCAACGGCGGGAGGGCTCCGCGCCGAGGAATCAGCAGCGGTCACTGCCGCGAGACGAGGGCGCCGTTGCGAATCCCGAACCAGACATCGGGGACGCACGGGTTCGAGTGCCGTGGCCCGGCGAGAGAGATCGGCCAGCGCTGAGAAGCGAGCAGGACTGCACCTGCAGCTGTTGCCGCCCTCCAGTCCCCATCCAGAGTCGCTGCTCATGCATTCTCAGATTTCGATCGCGGTCGCCAATCATCCAGCACTCGCGGGGCCCGTCGGGACATGCATGTCCAACATTGTTTTTAATGGCCCCAGGGACCGTCCTGGAGTCCTCTGGCCGTCTTGGAGACCCTGGAGGGTGGCCCAAGAGGCCAACATCGTCGAAGCCTGCCTTTTCGGTCCTCAGAGCGCCCAAGACGGCCCAAGAGGCGCCCAAGATCGCACACAACGGACCAGAAGATCCCAAGAGGAGAGCAAGGGGCCCCCAAGACGGCCACAAGAGAGGCCAAACATGGGGAACACGAACTGACATGTTGAGCCAAGATCCCCCCCGAAGCCCCCGAGGTGCCCCCAAGAGGCTCCAAAAGGCCCCCAAGAGGGCCCGAGAGGCCCAAATCAGGCCCAAGAATCAAAAACCCCCTAGACGCGCCAAGACACTCCAAAAACCATCTACGAGCCGCATCCGAGAAGCCTCCCAAGAGATCCGCACGGGCATCCATGAAGCGTCTCTGACTTACAACCCTGGCACTGTGACCGCATGGGCCGAGAAAACGCTGTCTATATACATATGGATATGGATATGTGTATACAAACATGGATTGTTAGTGATATTGCACTTGGCAGAAAACAACTACACGCACACACACACACACACACACAGAAAGTTATACCTAGAGGTAAGTGTACATGTGAGTGTACATATGCATGTGCATACACATATGCATATGTATACTCATACAAGTAGACAGTTACACATACAAATGTATAGAGACGTACATTTATACATGCATACGAATAGGTGCACACATGTACAAATTAACGCACATACACGTATACGGTTACAGTTGTATAAAACTACGTGTACACAGACTGTTACATGTACACACATGTATACATACACAAATACATATACACAAGCACAACATTATACGTGCAGATAGTCAAACACCGATACACACATACGTATACATGTGCATGATCATACGTGTATGCATGTCCATGCGCAGATACACATATGTTCATATATGTCGATGCATGCACATGTACATATGCACATACGTATAAATCTACAAACACAAACGTCGATATACATAATGCATGCCTGCACATGTACATAAACATATGATTGTACACAGGCATGAACATACACATATGCATATATGTATACACAAACACATGTACATATACATGTACATCGACACATGTGTATACATATACGTGTACATATGTATACATACATATACACAAACATATACGCGTACGTGGACATACCTATCCAACAAAGAAAACACAACAACAGCAAACAAACAACTGCGCGTGTTTTGGTACAAGCGGCATCTCCCGCCCCACAACCACATCCTGGAACCCAAGGATGTCTCAGGCGAAACGTGCAAGAGCACCTCGCGAGCCGCATCTTGGAACCCAGAGGTGTGAATTGCGGGGATGTCGCAAGCCCAGCGGGGCAGATAATCTCAAGTCAAGGCACCTCGGAGCTCGGGGCTCCGAGGATGTCTCAAGCGAAACTGGCCTGAGCACCTCGCGAACCGCCTCTGGACGCCCGAATTATCCGGGGTAACTCGGGCCCGGGGTAACTCGGGTTCGGATTCCCGAAATACGAACCCGAGTTAGCCCTGACCCGACCTACCACTAAGGATCCGGGCCTCTGAAGGACGTCTCAGGCCAAACGGTCAGAGCCAGGGATTCTGAGGATGTCTCAGGCGAAACGTGCCTGAGTACCTCGCGAATCATATCTTGGAACCCAGTGGTGAAGACGTCTCAAGCAAAACGGGCCAGAGCACCTCAATTCAGGGCATCTCGAAGCATGGGTTTCCGAGAAAGTCTCAAGCGAAATGGGCCAGAGCACCTCAATTCAGGGCATATCGAAGCCTGGTGCCCTGAAGATGTCTCAGGTAAAGCGGGTCTGCATACCTTGCGAAGCACATCATTGAATCCAGAATTGTAAGGACGTCTCAAGCAGAACGTGCCAAAGCACATCAAGTCGGGACATCTCGGAGCTCGAGGTTCCGAGGATGGCTCTCTGTGGGCCCCTGGGGCGCACCCAACTCTTTTGAGGGCAACCCCTCCCCGGCACCTCCCCGGCACCGCCGTTGGGGTTGCTGGGATCGCCCAGAGCCGTCCCGGGCGACCCAGGCACCCGGGCTCAGGTGCACTCCCCCGCCCGCCAGCCAAGGCAAGCCCTTGATGGGGCCCAAAACAACTCCAGAAGCCAACCGAAATGGCCAGCGAGGATCCTGCGGTTCCGAAACAGGCCTCCACCCCATAAAACAAACGGACCGTTCGAGAAATCCACACACTCTGGGCGCGAACGGGCCCGTTACATACCCTTCGTCAGCAGAGCACCAGGCACGATCGAGCCGCATCCAGCCCTAGCGACCAGAAGTGCCCCGAGAGCATTGGGAACTATAATACTTATCCGACAGCAATACGAGCATTTCCTATACAACCACCCTGCGGGTGATAAGGAGGTTGGGGGGGGAGGGGGGCGAGCAATGGGCAACAGTGGTGATTGTTGCGCTGCCGCTCGCTCTTGGGAGCCTTGGTGTCGAGATGTTTACGTCATCACAATCGGTATCACTCGATCTCACAATCGATATCACTGTTCATCTCACTATCGATCTCACTATCGATCTCACGATCGATCTCACTATCGGTCTCACTATCGATCTCACTATCGATCTCACAATCGACTTCGTCATCGGTCTCACTATCGTTTTCGCACCAGCGGGACACCGGGACACCTGCGGGACACCCGCGGGACACCGGCGGGGCACCGCGGGCCACCGCTTGTCGGAGGGAGAGTCATTTGGTCCGGCCGGGGCCCAGCCACAAGCGGGACACCGGCGGGACCGCGGGCCACCGCTTTCCAGAGGGAGAATCATTTTGTCCAGCCGCGCCTCAGCCACAGGAGACTTTCCTCTCGCCCGCCCACGCAGCTTCGCCTCGCCCGCACGCACGGCACGCACGAACACGAAACCGAAACCGATTTCCAGGTGGGGGGCTCTCGGGCCCACTTCGATCTCACCTGACGCGCGAAAGCACATCGAATGATATCCGATAGGATGGTGGCGGAGGAATATTTTCCTGAAACGCACGATAACCTCGGGCCAAGAGGGTGCCCACGGATAAACACAATACCAACAATCTGCCCTGGGAGTTCAAGATCATAGTGATAATATACACTGCATGAACTCATTTACTCAGTCCGCCCCATTTTAGTGAGCTTGAAACTCCACTAAATCAAAACTGAAAAGGGGCACCCTCAGACTGAGGTGACGTCGGTAACTCTTGGCCTGCTGCCATCAAATCGCACAGTGTAGCCTGACCGGGTCGGTTCCACCGACGGGGTCTGAAATGGGAGAAAGGAAAGAGACGAGAACGACGACAACTACGACGACGGACCAGCAGACTCGGCCTCCAGCTGCCTAACGGATGCGGCTCGAGAACGGCCCTTGGACGACGGGTCCTGCCGTCGGTTCTCCAAGGCCGTGCTCTCGGAGGTGATCTGCAAAAGACCTGAGCGCAGCAGCTGCAACTGCGCAGCGTTTGACTTGGAGAGGTCTGCCTTTGTCATCACGTCTACGGGCATCATGGGATGTGGGACCCATCGAACTACTCCCCCAACGCGTCCTAGAGAGTCCCTGCATACTGCGAGATCGATCGCAGCTCTTCTGTCGTTCTTACTGCCAGAGGTCTCCTTATCCAACGTATCGAAGATACCCTTGGCATCCACCACGCTGATATTTCCCTCGGGGGTCAGGTCCAGGGTGCAGCTCCTGCGCAGCACAGAGGCAAAGGGGCCTATGTGGGATCTCCAGGAGTCGTCTAGAAGGTTGCCCTGGAGAACATCGTAGAACAGCATTTGAAGCCACTCGGCCTCCGCGAGGGCCGCGCTCAGTGACTGAACCTCTCCGGCGAGCGTCGAAGGAACCTGACGTTTCACCCGACACGAGCGCCATGCCAATGGGGTGACTCGGGCCCGGGACCCGCGGGACAAGGCAGCATCAGCGGCATATAATTGCCACGCTTGCTGGGGCTTGTCCCCGCTATTCGCCGCGACTCCGCCGCAGTCGGAGGCCGTAGCGAACAGCATAGAACGAATATTAAAACGCCAAACGATGATAGGCACGTTGGCAGTCTGACGAAGGTGGTCAACCATCTTATTCAGCACCACGGCGTCCCCGACGGTAGGATGCGTGACCCTACTCGCGAGCAAGGAGGCAGTTCCCGACGCCTCCGCTCGCGTCTCCCGACCGACCCAGTTGAGACGATACACCATGGATCGGAAATCCGAGATCTCGCGGCCGACGAGTGGCTCATCGTGGTTGGATCGACGGGCACGAGGGAGGGGAAGACGGTGTATCTGCTCCAGGATATATTTTTCCTGGCCCACGAGAATCCTATCATTAAGCCTCCTCAACCGGCGACCTATGTAGTCTACCCCCGAAGCGTCGAGCCTCACCATCTTGCCAAAGTCGAAACGCTCTCTGTAGCTTTTCAGCTCCTCGGCCTGGACGGAAGGGAGGTGGGCCATGCACCAGTCGTCCACCTCAATGAGAACCATGGACTCGGGACCCCGGGGACCTCTTTTCGTCATCCAGCACGGCTCCAGCTTGGACTTAACATACCCCCTCGACTCGAAAAACGACACTGTGGTGCGATGGAGAGCCAGTGGGGCGTCGTCCAGCCCATACACAGGGGCGATGAGCTCTATTAAGGAACCGGTGGGGAGGGATAGTCCCTCGCATGGCTCCACGAAGACTCTCCCACGTGGACGAACCAGGGGATCGCTCTGACAGAAAGCATTCTTGAGATCTCCGATCTGGATATCCATATCGAGCGCCAGAGACATCGTCAGGAACAACATAAGGCTCTCCATCTGAGGAGTGGGTGAGTACACTCGGAGCTCTCCGGTGTCCTCGTCTTCGTGACCCCGAACACACCACCGACTTTTGGCCTTGGGTCTTGAGAAAGTCCCCTCCTGCGGCTTCCACCTCCTCACCATGCGACTAGACACGACTCGATTCGAGTACCTCTCACGGAGCCTGCGACCCTCCTCGGGGGGAAACACCCGCACCGCTTGGGTGTCCATGATGGCTTTCCATTCCTTGGCGTCAGCCTCGTCGAACTCGGCCGCTTCCTCTAGACTCAGACGCTTCTTCGAAACTTCCGAGCCCCGCGAAGCAGCCAAGGTCAACGTTCCTGCCTCGGACCCCTCCCCCGGGACCAGCTCCACGTCGGCGTTTCCGTTTCCGAACTCCACCCAAGATCCGCCCCATCCCCTCTCGGTCATGCCCTCCTGAAGGGACAGAAAATATTGACCGAGCTCTTCTTCCGACAGAGACATGAGAACCACATCCGTCATGGCGTCGGGCCTCTCTTCGGAACCCGTCTGGCCTCGACCCGGAGACCTGGATCTGTTCCTTTCTGGATCCGAGGCGGAAGGAGCCGCCGAACCGAGCCTGTCCCAGTCGGCGATCATGCGACCTACTCGCCCATCCGAACTTCCGCTCGGGTCCACCGCTGGCTGGGGAAGATTACCTAAACGAGCCCGATGACGTCGGGTCTGTTCTTCTCGCATTTGTTGGAAGGCAGCGTCCCTGTCACCCTGTGGACGCCTTCTCATCTCCCCGAAGTCTAACAGACGAGCTCTACGAATGGCCTCCTGTCTCTGCAACTCGATATCGCCTTCGGAGGGACCAGGAGGCGGACCGACAGCACTCGGAGCAACCGACCCGGAGGGGGCCACGGAGGGAGCAGGTGATGGCCCGGACGGGGGCATCCCCGACCGAGTCGACTCTCCGACAGACACCTGCCTCTCGGGCCTGAACGGTTCCTCGTCACGTGATGCACCGGTCTCTCTGGCGCCTGCTGGAGCTTCTTCCGCTCTCTGAGGAACTTCATCGCGTCCTGCGTCGCCGAGGGATCCCGACGACTCGGGAGGAAGCATGGAGGGAAGAGGAGCTGAGGTGGACCCGTCCGCGGGGGGAACAGGCTCTTCCCACGCCTCCGCCGGAGGTGGGCCTTCCCTCATGACGTTAACTCCTCCTTGGTGCGCGCCAGACTGCACCTCTCGGATCATGGAGGCCACGGCTGGATCCTGCAGAATCTCCGCCCCCCTGGCCTCGGGCCCGGTGGCGGGTCTCAGCTGCTCACTGGCGCACTTCCATAATCGAGACCTCATCGACACCCAGACACTGTTGTTGTGTTGGAAGACCACGACCCCGGGGCCGGTCCACCTATCGCGTTGCAGCGCGTAGGTCTTGCGCTGGGCCCTCGGGGCCCTGCGCCACACGTAAACCCAGTCTCCGGGACTGTATCTGGTGTCGCGATGTCTCGATGCCTTGGCTGCGGCCTTCACTCGGGCCTGGCTTCCCTTCTGAAACAGCTGGGTCCTAGCAAAACGTCGGATGCTCATTGCTCTGGCGAAGTCCGCTGCTGCGGTATCTTGGTCCCACGCCGTCTCGTCGAGATCCTGCTGGCCGACCAAACCGAGGGGGTCATCAGACATCAGCTCGTGTGGAACACGTGGGTTGCGCCCGAAAACGAGTTGATTCGGAGAGAAACCCCCCCGGTGAAGGTAGTTGTTCTTCGAGGCCACTACCTCGTACGCCAGGATCTCGAGCTCTTTCTCCGTGGCGACGACGGTCTGTTCCGATCCCTTGTCCAGAAGGTCCTTGACCCAGCCCCCGTGTCTCTCCGCGCGGCCGTTTTCCCAAGGGGCCTCCGCGTTCACCACATGTTGGAACACGCCCTGTTGCTCCAGCCCCCTGAGGAACTCGGCCTGAAACTCGGCTCCGCCGTCCGAAAGCACCAACTCCGGGGGGCCGAAATATCGGATCCACGATCCCACGAACGCTTCCCACGCACTCCGGGCCGCTGGGGTCCCATATCCGTTGCACCTGGCCACCACTTGGTAGTTCGTTCCGTGGCACACCGCGTTCAAAAAAAGGAACAGAACGGCCCTCAAAGGAAACATAAAACACGTCTATCCCCACCACGCGATTAAATGGAAACGTGTGAGGCATAGCCGCCCTTCGTCTCTGCTCTGCCTTGGGGTGGGCGTCGCAGTCAGGACACGAGAAAGACGCCTTCACGTACTCCAAGACCTCGGGGCGAACGTGAGCCCCCCTCAGAACACGAATGAAGAGAGGAAGTCGAGGGTGTCCCAGATTGACGTGAACCTTATACAGCAGGTCTTTAACGCGAGCGTCGATGGTGAGAGGAGGTTGAGCCTCGTCGGGCTCATCCTCTTCTCCTCCTTCCTCGCCTTCTGGAATCGGGTCGAGATCTCCAGAGCCCATGTCCGCGTCCTGTTCTTCAGAGTCCAGATCGATATCGTCTTCTCTCACGGGTGGGGCCGCTCCTCCCGACGCTCCTACTGGGAAAGAGTTGACCTGATCTATTAGTCCCCAAAACGACTCGGGGTGAGCTGACTTGCGTGCCATGGAAGACACGATCTTGGCGACGGTCTCGGCCATGTGCCTGCAGAAGGCCTCGGGGTACACCTGGGACTTTCGAGTCACCGCCCGACCTTCCAGAACGAAGTGCTCGTGGTCCCCAGAGCACTGATATTTCTTGAACATCTCGATCACTATGGGGTCGTTTGTCAGCAGTCTGGTTCGCTTCCTGGACAACTTGCCCTCGGGATCCACCGTGAGACCGAAACAGCACATGTCGAACGAAACCGCCTGGGCGCCCGGAAGCACCGCCAATCGGACCACTCTGGGGTCCTCCCAGGACGACGCCGTGTCAGGGTGCTCCAGCACGAAGGAGCGCCCTCCGCGGTACTGGATGAGGGCCAGGTCGACCGCATGATGAAGGTGAGTGAGGCCCTCCGAGATCAGAGCCTCGCGGTACTCGGAGTCCATGGACCCCTTGCTGACCCTAAACATGGCGCTGTGTGTCTGGCACGGGGGCTCCATCATGGCAACTGCTGGCTTCTCTTTTCTCAGGCGCTGCCTAGCCGCAAGTCTGACTCCCCCCTCTCTGAAGTCCCATCCGGTTTCCAAATCCCAACTCCCGAGACATCCCACCCTGCGCTTCTGGACCTCGGGACCGATCCGAGGAGGAGAATACACCTCGACAAAGGCCCTGTCGGCCCACTGCCGTCTCCTGGAGGCCTCGAGTCTCTCGGACTTGGGGGTCTGACTGCGGACAGCCGCTAGGCAAGCCGGGGAGCGGGTGGATGCTCCCTGAGGTCGGTCTTCGAAGGGTCCCTGAGTTTCTCGTTCCGGATGGGGAAGCTGTCCGTCTGGTGGAAGCTGCCCCCCTCCTGGAAGCTGTCTCTCTGGTGGAAGCTGCACCCCCCCTGGAAGCTGTCCCTCTGGTGGAAGCTGCGCCTCTCTTGGAAGCCGTCCTTCACCGTGGGGTGGTCCTGCCGAGAAGCGCAGGGCCTTCTCACATGCTTTCTTTTCCCTCCTGGAGGCGATCGCCTCGAAATCGTCATTAAACTCGCCTGAGAGCAACAGGTCCCGCCAAACAGGCAGGGACATCGCCACCAAGCGCTCTGCCTGGTCGTCTGGAGAAGCGCCCCCCTCCTTCTCCGTCGCCCACACTCCATCTGGCCTTCTAATCAGGTTCATCCCCCCGTCCTCCCCAAGATAGTGGGGCGCTTCTTCCTGGAAAAAGAAAGTCTCGTGCGCTCGCCATCCGGCGCTGCTTAGAATCCGATCGAGGCTCTCCGCCTCGGGCAACTCACTCAGGCCGTACGAGCACCTGCCGTCCTTCAAGGACTGCTTGGTCCGCTGATGGCACTGCCGGCGGTCGGAGGCGACTCGATCGTCTCCCACCCGACGGGGAACACCGCCTGGGCCGGCACCTGCGGCGGCAGCGTCTTCGGCTGGTCCTCGATCGCCATCTGCCTCTCCATCATGGCCTGCTTCTCCTGGATGCCGAGCTGCGCCGCCTGCATGTGCTGAATGGCTTTTCCCTGCTCCACCACCAGGGCGAGCAGGCCGTGATTCTGGTTGGTCATCTCTTCTTTCATGCTCTTGATCTCGCTGATCAGCGACGCACGAGGGGCGCGCTGGCGAGGGCGTGCTGGACCTGTGCCGTCTACTTCCATGGGCGCCTCCAAAGCCCGATACTGCACCATCTCCTCGGAGCGCTTCTTCACCCTCATCGGCTCCTCCGAGCCCTGGGTCGGCCCCCGGTCGCTCGTCGTCGTCATGAGAGCGACCCTCGTGCACTCTACCGAGTTCCTCACCGATGCTCTGCCCCCGGGGGGCTTGGTGAGGTCGCTCACGTTCAGCACCGTCGAGCCGCTCTGAGGCGACTTGCCCTTCCCCTTGTAGATGACGGACGCCTTCTGGAAGTACGAGACCCTCATGTCGCAGTCCCCGCAGACTTCCCAACTGCCGTGGGAATTGCCGAAACTGATGAGACGTGCCCAGGAATGACTGCACTTCATCTGGCGCTCCGTGTAGAACCTGTCCGCCTTCTTGGTCTTGATTGGCCACTGGTGGCCGTTCTGGAACATGCGCAGCAGCTTCAGCCCCTTGTGCTGGTGATCGGCCACGATCCTGGAGCTGAGGTACGCCCAGAACTTGTCTCCCACCGACAGCCCGTTCGGATATTCGTTTCCGGTCAGCAAGTACTTGACGCACTGCGGCTCGCCACTGTCGCTCGCGGTGGAACCCGTCATCGCCTGCAGAAACGTTTTCTCGGCTCGATTCCAGTACGTCACCATGGCATCTGCAGCTCGTGCGAGAGAAAGCGTCTCGAACCGTCCTCCTCAAACCGCTCGGCCCAGAAATGGCCACATGCGTCGGATCACGACGTCGACGACGGGGCGAAAAATGAGTAGGAGAGACCGCCTCCCAAGACGTCCGCCGAAAGGCCTCTGAGTTTCCCGGAACGCCTCGAGGGCCTCCAGAACCAGAGGGGGGGGAAAGAGGTGCTCACCTGCACTTGGAGGTCCTCCTTGATGCTTCTGGGTGTCGTTGCTGATCACTTTCGATAGCGAGGCCGGGTCTTTCTCGATACGAGCCCATTCGGCCCTGGGTTTCCGAGTCGACTGTTCCGTAGACGACCTCGACGACACGAGGGAGGACGACCGAGCGGGAGGAGGAAGCACGTAGCTCTCGCTCGAGCTCAGGCGAAAGTCAGACGCCTGCAGTCCGAAACGCTTCCGGACAGCCTCCGGAAGCTCAAAACCCTCTGGGCTGCCGAGCTTGTCGATCGCGATCGTGCGATGACCACTCGACAGCCGCTTCAAGCTGGTGGTCACCCCTAGTGCCCTCAGAGTCATCTCGGCCTTCGGGAGATCGATCACTGCCTTCATCTGCTCCTGCATACTGATCGGCATCAGGGCCGGCACGTCTTGCTCGATCAGGTCCAGCTCCATGATGCCTGTCTTGCCCTCGATGCCTGTGGGGACCAGGAGTCCTGACTGCACCTGCGTCTTCCCGCCGACGCCTCTCGCGAACTGGTGCTTGCTCTTGACCCGAACCACTCGGAAGCCCAGCTCGCCGAGACGCTTCTCCAGCCTCTGCAGTGCCTGCGGCCCGATCAGCGCCTGGCCCGCCGCCGTGTCCACCACGATGTCCCCTGAGCCTGTGACCAGCAGGCTCATGGCCTCGACCTTCTCGGATCTGATGCGGCCCACGACCTGGTGAATCAACCCGCGCGCGTTGATCGAGTTGATGTTCTCCGAGGCCAGGATCGCGTAGCTCGGCTCCGATTCATTGAGCAGCACGAACCCGCTTCCCGCTGCGGCTCCCGTCGAGTCTCCCTTCTCGGGACATTCTCGGCTCCAGTGTCCCTTCTTGTGGCATCGATGACACTTTGTGATCTTCATTAGTTTCTCGATCGGAAGTCTCCTCTTCCGCTCGCGAACTATCCCTTTCGCACTCCGACGTAGTCCGTCACGTCTCCCCGGGTGCGGCGGCGGCGGCGCCGGCGCCCTGGAGCCCGAAGGCCCCCCCGGGGTCTGGTAGAATTTTCTATCCACTCGAAGCTGCCTTTTGTAGTCCCGGTTCTCCTTCCACGTCTTCTTTCTGTCCTTTTCCAGCGTCGCCAGCACCTCTGGTAACTCGTGCTCGTCTACGTCGGCCTCGGCGATCGACTCCAGCACGAAAGCCCCCTGCTCCGACGTCATGGAAGATACGTCGCTGTACTCGCAGAGGTCGTCGTCATCATCCTGTAGTGCGTAGGTCGCCGCCGTGGCCTTGCCCGTCCGGGCGCCGAGATGCTCATTGCGTGTCACATCCATCTCTCTCGCCGCGCCGATCACTTCCTCGTAGTCCTTGGAGCCGCGGCTCATGACCTTCAGCATCTGCATCCCGCTCTCATCCAGTCCTATGCCTTCTTCAAGAAATAATATTTTCCAGCTGTCGTCTAACTCGAGCCCCTGGCCCTTCAGCCTCTCGAAGTTCTGGTCCATCCGTGCCGTGTATACTGAGAGGGTTTCATCCGCTTTGCGTCGATATCCCATCAAGCATTCTCGGCCCGCTCTTCTTTTCTCGTCGTCCATACGTTGCCCGCTCATAATGTCGAGTCGCTTGATGATCGTCATCGGCCCTTCAGCCGACTGCAACACTGCATCTGAAATAACTTCGAATTTTCTCTGCAAATCCCTGTCTAATACCTTCAGGATCTTGTCTGACCTCTTCCTCGGCGGTACGTCTGTCTGGTCGAGCCATCTGACCACTCGGCGACGCCACAATCTATAGTCTGACCAGCCCATGAATGCCTCCGGATCGGTGTAGTCGCCCTTCTCCCGCTTCTGGTCCTTCCAGTCGCTCTCGTACCTGCCGCCCTTGGCCTTTTTCCACTCGTCCCATTCTTCTTGAGACCATTCTCTTCTTTCTCCGCCTTGGCTCTCCGACCGACTTTGACCCTTCCACGGGTCGTCTGAATCCCACGGATCGCGAGGTCGCCGGTCAGCACCCTTTTCCTTCTCGCTCGCGCCGTGTTTGCCTAGGTACTTCAGCAGCATGGCCTCCGTCTGCGCCAGCTGCTGCTTCATCATCTGTTCAAGCTCACTTTTCTGCTCTCCAGTGAACACCTCTGAGTCCACCGTGCCATCCGACAATTCCTTCCTGCCCGCTAGGTCTTCTGCCCTGCGTTGTCCCTCGCCGTTGCAATCCTTCGGTTCACCCGACATCGTGCCGCGGATCGACCAACACTCCTGGGAGTGTCACGCTCCTGCTACCACTGACGCGCGAAAGCACATCGAATGATATCCGATAGGATGGTGGCGGAGGAATATTTTCCTGAAACGCACGATAACCTCGGGCCAAGAGGGTGCCTACGGATAAACACAATACCAACAATCTGCCCTGGGAGTTCAAGATCATAGTGATAATATACACTGCATGAACTCATTTACTCATCACCCCCCAACCTCCGATCCTTCCTTCCTCTCTTCCCCAAGCATCCTGCTACTGATCCTCCTCCTCCTCCTCCCACTCCACCTCCCACTCCCCCTTCGCTTCGCTCTTCCCGACGGTTGCTCGGAATTGCGGAGGCGTCTCATGCGAAACTGGCCGGACCCCCTCACACGCGGCATCGTTTTGCCAAGAATTGTGGGGACGTCCGAGGCCAAACGAACCAGATCACCTCGCGGGCGGCATCTTCAAGCCTCTCGCGTAGCGCCTGGAAGCCCAGAATCGCGATGATGTTTCGAGCGAAACGGGCCAGCCCATGGGAAACCTGGTCGTTTCGGAACGCAGACTTGCAATGATGTCTCATACGAACCGGGCCGAACAACGTCAGCATGTTATCCATGTTTCGACGCGGGGGCCCCTCGGGCGGCATCCGCTCGCAGCAGTGCCCCCTGGCACCAGGCGGGCGACCAACGAACAATCCAAGACTAAACCTATTGAACAGAAACAAGCGAGACGTTCCCATATGTTCTACAATATGCAGAGCATGCACTCCATGTTGCGTAATCTATGTTGTGCGATATGTGTTGTGCAATCTTCATTTGGCAATCAATATACCTATACGACCACCCTTCGGGTGATAAGGAGGTTTGTGGGGGGGGAGGAACCAACGTCTCACTCGATCGGTCTCACTATCGATCTCACTATCGATCTCACGATCGGTCTCGCTCGATCAATCTCACTCGATCGATCTCACTCGATCTATTTCATTCGATCAATCTCACAATCAATCTGACTATCGATCTCACAATCGATCTCTCTATTAATCTCGAAATCGACCTCAAATTCGGTCTTACTATCGATCTCACTATCGATGTCACAATCGATCTCACAATCAACGTCATCATCGTCATCAACACCATCGTCATCGACGTCATCAACATCATCATCATCATCATCATCATCATCAGCATCATCATCGGTACACCATCAGCATCATCACCTCATCACCATCATCATAAATCTACTCATCATCAGCATCATCATCATCACCGGGACACCATCATCGTCACAATCATCCTCATTAACAGCATCAGCAGAATCATCATCATCGGGACAACATCACCATCATCATCGGACCATCCCATCATCTCATGATCATCATGAACAACATCATCAACATAATCATCATCATCGGGACACCATCATCATCATCAGCAACATCATCAGCATCAAAACCATCAGCATCATCGGGACACCATCATCATCGTCATCATCATCATCACCATCATCGACATCACCATCGGGACACCATCATCATCAACATCCGCATCATAATCATCTCCATCATCGGGCCGACATTATCAAAACCATCATCATCTCATCATCATCCTCATCGACACCATCAGCATCACCATCATCATCATCAGCATCGGGACACCATCATCGTCATCATCATCAGCATAATCATCACCGGGACACCATCATTGCCATCATCATCATCATCAACCTCATCATCATCATCATCATCATCATCATCATCGGGACACCATCATCATATTCATCATCATATCACCATCACCGCATCATCATCTCATCATCATCAACAGCATCAAAATCATTATCATCATCATCACCATCATCGGGACACCATCATCATCATCATCAGCAGCATCATCATCATCATCAACATCATCATCGGGACACCTTCATCACCACCATCACCATCATCTGTATTATCACTACCATCATCATCAACATCGTCAACATCAGCATTATCATCATCATCATCGGGACACCATTATCATCACCACCATCACCATCATCATCATCAACATCATCGACATCAGCATCAGCATCAGCATCAGCATCAGCATCAGCATCAGCATCAGCATCAGCAGCAGCAGCATCATCATCATCATCATCATCATCATCATCATCATCATCATCATCATCATCATCATCATCATCATCATCATCATCATCATCATCGGGACACCGACGGGACACCAGCGGGACACCGGCGGGACACCGCGGGCCACCGGACGCGGGAAGGGAGTCATTTGGTCCAGCCGCGCCTCAGCCACAGCGGGACACTGGCGGGACACCGCGGGCCACCAGTTGCCAGAAGGGAGTCATTTGGTCCGGCCGCGCCCCAGCCACAGGAGACTTTCCTCTCGCCCGCCCACGCAGCTTCGCCTCGCCCGCACGCACGGCACGCACATGTTTTTGATTATATCGAGTATGGAAAAGCTATGATTATCCTGAGAATTGGCAGGAGCGCGAGCGCAAGCTTCTTTGGAAACTATATGTTGCGAAACCATGTGTGCTTGTATGTTTTTGGACACTCGGTTTTGGAATTGTCACGAAACCCAAGACTCTGACGGATTTCGGCATGCGCGCGCGGCGACGCGTGCGTGTGCACTTCGTTCCATTAGTTCTCAAATCATTCTCGCGACAGCACGCGCGCAAGGGCGTTCGAACGATTTCGACATGCGCGCGCGAGAACCGTTTGGTAGCATTTTCTGACAATGATGAAGAACCGATGGTTCTCCTAAGAATTCGCAAGAACGCGCGCGCAATTTTTTTCTGACAATCCGTGTTCCAAAACCCTGTGTCCTTACGAAACCGAAGGTTTTTGAAGGATTTCGGCACGCGCGCGCGCGACAAGGCGCGCGGCTGCACTTCGTCACTTGTTTTGCAAAGGGTTCTTGAACCCGGATGATTTGTGATAAACTAGTGCGCGCGCATCGTTTTTGTTGCAGAGGATGGCAGGGGGTCGGACACCAGCAGGGCTGGGACGGTATGAATTCATATTTAGGATGGACGATGGGGCAGAATCATGTAAACTGCACACCCCCAGGGGGGACCGACAACCCCAGCCACGGGAGGGTGGTGGAGTTGACTACTTCTCTTAGAGAGGGAAAACATACGTGGCGCAATCCACTTTGACTGTCTTGAAGCTGTCCTCTCCATTGCTCGTGCAAACATCCCACCCACCCACCCGCAACTTGGTTTGCAAAACCTGTTCAGACCGACTACGACGACACCGACGACAACGACTAGGACGACACCGACGACGTCTCCGACGACTTCGACGACGACAACGACGCCGACGCCGACGAAGACGAAGACGACGACGACGACGCCAACGAAGGCGACGACGAGGGAGGAAGGACGACGACGGCGACAACGACGACAACGACGACAACGACGAGGGAGGAGGGAGGACGGCGACGACGCGAACGACGACGAAGGAGGAAGGACGGCGACGCCGACGACGACAACGACGAGGGAGGAGGGAAGACGACGACGACAACGACGACGACGACGACGACGACGGCGACGAAATAGGAGGGACGACGACGAGACGCCGACGACGGACGACGACGACGACGAGGGGAGGAGGAGGAAGGACGACCACGGCGACAACGACGACGGAAACGACCACGACGCCAAAGAGGACGACGACGACGAACACGAGGAAAGACAGAGGACGACGTAGGCGACGACGACGACGACGACGCGGGAGGAGGGAGGACGGCGACGACGACGACGACGACGCAAGAGCGCGCGCGCACGCTTTTGTTGAAAATCCGTGTTGCGAAACCTTGGGTTTTTGTAGGTTTTTTGGACGCGCGATTTCGAAATCCTTCCGAAACAGATGGGTTTTGAAGGATTTCGGCGTACGCGCGCGACGACGCGCGCGTCTGCACTTCGTCCCATTTGTTGCAGAGGATTCTCGCGACGGCACACGCGCAAGGGCGTTCGACAGATTTCGACATGCGCGCGCGCGAAGCCCGTTTGGTAGCATTTTGTGAAAATCTTGAAAAAAAACATGATTTTCTTCAGATTTCGCAAGAGCTCGCGCGTAAGCTTTTTTAGCAACTCATTGTTGCGAAACCCTGTGTTTTTGTATGTTTTTTTGAAACTCGATTGCGAAATCCTTCCGGCACCCAAGGTTTTTGAAGGATTCCGGCATGCGCGCGCGACGACGCGCGGGTGTGCACTTCGTCCCATTTTTTGCAGGGGATTCGTGAAAAAGTGCTATGTTGGAACAACAAATGTCACCGCATAGTGTTTTCTTACAAGGGAACCGCAGGGGGGGGATACCGGCTTGGCTGGGATGGTATGAATTCATATTTAGGATGGACATGTGGTCAGAATCATATGTGATTTACAGCACGCGCGGGGGAACCGATAAGTCCGGGGGGGGGGGGGGTAGAATCTATTACCCTTTTAGAAAGGAGAATCTGCGTTGTGCAACACAGGGCGGGGCTGCGGCAACGGGACGGCTACATAGCCGCAGGACCGCCAGGCAGGCCCAGTTCCTTAGACCACAAGTGTGGGGACACCAAAAAGTACCCGTACCCCTATTACCCGGACCCCAGACCTCTCCTAGGGCGCGTTTTGACCAGGATCTCGAGCCGAATCCAGCGGTGGCGACGACGGAGACCCAGGAGGCCCAAAAACGGGAAGACGAAGGGAGGGGAGAGGTATAGGTACCTTCTACCCCTCTCAGAGTTGGAACCCCAAAATGCAAGCAGTGCTTGGGAATCTACAGATATAGGGCACTCGCAGAAGAGAGAGACCAGGAGGACCAGCCAAACCAAAACACCGCACTCTGCCAGCCCACGCGCCCGCTCTCAAGACCGGCTGAGCGCCGCGGCATCCCGGCCCCAGCCCGGGAGGGGCGAGCGCCACGCCCGCCGCCCCGCGCCCCCCGGCGCCAAAATGGCTGCGGGGCCGCCAGCCGCCTGGCCAGCCCCCTCTCACCTCG